GCCCGTAGCTGTCACCTCTGGCACCCTGGGCCAATAGGCTGGACCTCAGCGCCTCAGCTCTCCTGCCCCACGAGCACCAAGGTGGGAGCAAACAAGGCGGCACTGGGCCAAAAGGTGAGCCCAAAGTACTAGGTCCTGCCCCTCTGGATTGGAGGAAAAAAGACAATGCCCGAGTGTGGGGAGCGGGACATGGCACCTGCCAGGAGCTCCTCAACCGCAGTCAGAGCCCTGGGCCCCCAGCCCAAGGCAGCAGCTCTTAGCTGCACCTCGGCCTGGGCATCGGCCCCACGTCACAGACAAGGGCCCCACCTCCACAGCCATGTCTTCGGTGACTGCCTCTGACTTTGCCTTCCTGGGGGTACCCTGGACCTACCCGGAGGACCAGGCCACCTAGACGCAACTCAGAACCTCCGGAGACGGGCTCAGTGGTCCCCTGCCAGGTCTCTCCAGTGCGTGCCTCCTCCTATGGGCCTGGGGCCACCTCTGAGCCGGCCCATCAGGGGGCTGCCCAGCTCGGACCTAGCGCCCTCCACACCCCCGGGCAGCCCCTGGCCTGACGCCTGGGAAACATGTCGTCCAGGGGGACCGTTTTCCCTTCTGGGTGCACTCTCTCTCACTCACGTCTCCTCCCTGGGCTCTGTGAGCTAATCAGAGAGAAGGAGGGGGAGGAGGGGGTGCTGCTCGCCTTCCCGTTATCTGCAGCAATCCACGGTGACTAATGCTCCCAGTTGGTAAAAAGGCAGTGTAATCAAAACACTTTTTTTTTTAGTCCTTAAAGTTAGTCATTCTCCCAGAGTGGAGGAAAAAAAAGCCCACAGCAGGTACCATGAGATGCAAGCTGAGAGGCTCGCGCTGCTGGGTGAACCAAAGCTTTGGCCGTGGCAGCTCCCCGTGGGTCTGAGGCTCGGGGGCCTCCTCCTTTGGGTCTTTGGCTGTCCCTCCTCCATGCCCTCGTTTGTTCTTGCTTCCCCCAACATCTGGGCTGTCTGAACCCTGCAGGACTTCCATGCCAAGGCAGGAGCTGCCCTTCCTCTCGCCCTGCCAGGTGCTGCCACCTGCTGGCCCTGACTCCCTGAGCTGGAGGAAGCATATAAAAGCTCCCAGGACGAGGCCGAGTATGGCGACTATGGCGTGGGATCTTGGCAGGTCCTGGTCATGTGCCCACCCTCCCTTCAAGCCCAACCTGGCCGCTCGGTGCTGGTGCTTCTTTCTCCCGGCTCCTCCCTGCCGGCATCTGAGCCCATGTGCCTCGATGGAACCATAGATTGCCAGGGGTGGCAGGGACCACCAAGGAGGGGGGTAAACCACAGTGACGAAAAGCATGAGCATCACAGCCAGGTTGCCCAGGTTGGAAACTCCACTTTGCCACTTCACAGTCATGCTTCTGCTCCTCTATCTGGAAAATAAATGATCCTATTAATAGTACCTACCTCACAGGGGTGTGGTAAGGGTTAATGCAAACTGCTCAGAATAGTGCTTGGCATGTCGTGAGTGCTCGATTATTATTAACTCATAATAAAAATAATAACAGAATAATAAGGTGGAATATCTACCATCACAACCCATTACTTGTCCAAGGCAGACATTACTAATCAATCACAGAACTTGTCCACCAATGGCAGACTCCCCGGAAGCCTCAACATGGCACTCCAGGCAGCCGGTGACAAACGATCTGAGTTGGCACACTGGATGATACCCACCTGCCATCCTAGATCTAACCTGGACCCTTCAAGTTGCAGTCAAGGAAGATGAGGCCCAGGGGAGGAACGAGACACCCTCAAGTCACTTGGAGGAAGAAGCAGGGTTCAGACAGGAATTCCTGGCCCCAACTGCCGCTTGACAGCTGGGCTTCTGATGTGTCACTTCACCCTGACCTTTAAGTGATCACTGTGGGCTTCCCACCACTGCAAACTCTCTCCCTGGTATCCTCCATCTCCCCCCACCCTCGCTTCTCCTCCCATGCCCGTGGCCCCCCGACTGCCGAGGGACTGTTGTTCTGAGGCACCTTCTGAGCAGGTGCAGAGCAGGGAGGAGTGGGGCGGTGAAACCATGCAGAAACCTGAGGGCTGGGGAAGAAGGTGCTGCAGCGGCCTCCTGAGCAGGAAGGGAGCTCAGTCCTCCAGCTGTAGCCTGGTGCTGGTGGAGCACCCGACGGCGCAGGCCCAGGGGCTGGGAATCCTTGCTGTTCGCGGATCAGAGGCTGGCACGGTGAGAGCCCTGGACTTCAGCACGGGAAAGGCTGGGAGAGGGCGGATGTGACAAGCCCAGAGATGGGGGTGAGTGGGGGACACCTACTTATCAATTTCTGCATAAAAAGCTCCAAAAAGAGGTCAGGGCTGAAGGCTAAGCAGGTTCTGCTGCTGCTTTCCCTCTGGTAAACAGCTTTGTCTCCAGAGTGGACCTCTGTCACCTGAACACATTTAACTTCAAGCTCAGACTTCTAGGGGAGGAATCGGTATGTACCAGGCTTGGGACCAGGAGCGTCTGCCTCTACCCAAGGCGACTCCTCTCTCGGCTCCTACTTGGAAACCCAATTTGCTCCTTTTCCATCCCTCCCCTGCAGGGGCAGGGTCACCCGGTGTTGTTCTGGCCTTTGGTCGTAAGTAAGAAGGACATTGTTTCTGACCCTGCAGGCTGAGCTTGGCACAACAGTGGAAAATGTTTGTGTGTCCCTGTGTCAGCTTCCCGGGGATCAATGCCACATGGCATGGCAGGTTCATGGAGGGACACAGATGGCAGGATGCCTGACTCTCTATCCTCAGCCCAGTGCCACGCTAACTGAGCAAATGGGCTACAGGTGGGGAGACCAAGCTCAGCTCAGACCACCATTCTTCCCAGTAACCTCAACGGTCCTGCTGGCGGCTACATCAAAGGTTTGAGGTGAGCTGTAGACAGTGCAGCCCCAGTTGCACCTCAGGCTGAATCCTCCCCTCTGAGAAGATTCATCTTTAGCTGATCAGATGTCACTGATCCCTCAGACCTGCTCACTTCCCTGGGCTTGCCTCTCTGTTCACCCGCCTCCTCCATTCTCCCATTTCTCAAGAGGCTCTAGCATCAACAAAACAGTTGACTTGGAAACTTGAGATGCTGGAGACGGGGATATTATCTATGCACTCATCTTTCAGATGCGGGGACCAAGGCCAGAGAGGGGATGTGATTCATCCAAGGCCAGTCGTAATGTCAAAGATGGAATTAGAGCCCTGGACCCTTCTATAGACTCTTAGTCCAGAACTCATCCATTCTAGTCCTACAGGATGCGTCTGCTACCTCCAGCCCTGAAACAGACTGCCCCCAGGATATGGCAGTTGCCTGGGCTATTACTTTTGGAAATATTTATCATTGTGGAGCAATAACTGAGGGAGGCAGAGTTTGGGGAAGGGAGGAAGCTGGTGGAAGAGCCATCCACAGGTGCTAAAATGCCAGAGGGCTCCTAAACACACGGTGGCCCCTTCTATCCCCACAGCCTCTGCAAAGCAGCAGGGACTGTCCCTCCCTTCACCCACACTCTGCCTGGGCTGCCCTTCGGGTGACTTCTCCTCTTCTTTAGTCTTCAAGGCTACTCTTGTGCTCGTTTTGGTCTGCTTCCCGAGGAACAGTGTAGTGATGAAGCTGATCTGTGTGACGTGCTTGGGGACACCCCTACCATTGGCAAACCCTATTAAGTCAAACTATGGAAGCTTCAAGAATGGAATCAGAACACACAAATTAGAGACTGCCTCCTGGAGCCCACCCTCTAAGCTCCCCTGCTCCTCCTGGGTGAGCCCTCTGTTCCATCCTAGGTGGTCAGAACTAATCATACCCATCTTCCACTCCAGGTCATTGGCTTAGCTACTCCCAAGCAACCCCTGAAACACTTGAGGTCCATTTGAAGGAGAATTCCTAGACAGAAGCTCTTTGGGGGCCCAGCAGATACCTGCACAGGCCTCACTGCCTACTCTTCTCTCTTCTACAACATGGAGGGGTGGCAGGGCCAACTCAGGCTAGAACCCCAGGAAGCTCGTGAGGGACCAAGGCCCTGGATTCTGACTTTAGGGGACCTGAGTCACGTCAGCTGCTTGCCTGGACCTCAGTCCTCTTCTTAGCCAAGATGTGTTCCCTCTGCCTGGATCCTCTCCACCCCTCAGCCCAGATCCACCTGGCCACCCGAGTGCACCTTCAGGGCTTGGCTTGCACATGAGCTCCTCCTGGAAGCCTTCACTAAAACCCCATTTGCAGCTTCAGGGCTCCCTTTCAGGCTGCCACAGCACTGTGTCCTGTCCCATCATATATTATTATCGTCACTGCCTGTTTGTCTCTCCCTCCAGGAAAGTAGCTCTGGGAGGGCGTAGGGCAGGATGGATACTTCTTTCACATGCTCGTATGGGTCATATCCTCGAGGTTTGTGCAGTGCCTGGTGCACCACAGGAGTGCAACTAATATTTGTTAATGAAGGAATAGAAAGAATGGGACCGTTCACACCATTGGCACATCACAGAGGGACCGGTGGGAAGGCAGGGGGCCCCCTTACTCTGCGTCCTCTTTTGGTGAGTAAATCCACAGAACATTCCAACCTGAAAAGCACCTATTCTATTGATATCCGGCGCCCTGTGCCATCTTGAAGGAGGGGAAAGATGTGTTTGTTTGTTTGTTACAGGTCATGCATGTGCAGGCTACAAAATTTAAAAGATGAGAAACAGGATAGGGAAAATCTAAGTCTTCCTCACACCCTGTCTCCAGGAGCTCTTTCCCCATAGACAACTGCTGCTGCTGTCTCTGGATTAGAAACCACTTTACAGACAGCAAGATGGAGGCAATTCAGCCAGTTAATGGCCCTGTGTAGTCAGTTTTGAAAGTAGAAAAAAAGCCCCCAGAGGCCCTCCTGCCTCCGCCCTAGGCCAGAGCCAGAGGGTCGCCTGCAAGGGAGACTCCGTGGCGAGTACGCGGCAGCGAAAGAGTTAACGCGCCGGGCTCCGCCCTCCCAGCCGCCTCTTCCGGGCAGCGGGGGCGGGCTCTACGTCACTTCCTGGAGACTAGCTGAATCCGGAAGTGATCCCAGAGGACCGAGTTGCAGCTGAGGACCCCGGCGGCAGGCCCAGGTTCGGGACCATGAGCTGGTGAGTGAGCCCCGGCCCCGCGGTGCCCCCGGCCCCTGCGTCGGCGCCCGCCCTTCCCGCACGACCCCTCCGCCCCAGAGCAGGGCCCAACAGCCCGTGCCCTGGGGTCGTTCAGGGGCCTTCCTCCGGGGCTTTCCCGAAGTCGCCGTCTCTCAGCAGGGACTCCCTGGCAGAAGGGCCGGGAGACCCTCCTAGCGTGGGACCCTGCGTCTGACTCCTGTTTTGCCGGACCCGTTTCCTCTCAGCTCCTTGAAGTGAGGGACTTCCTTGTTCCCTCCTTTTTTAAATATCCATTGAGGTGGAGCTGGTGTGTTCTTTCTCCCCTGGGGGGATCTCTCCCCCGCGCCCATCCGCCCCAGAGCTGTGGCCCTCACTCTGGCAGTCTAGGTCCAGTTCCCTGATCAAAACCCACTCGCTTTCAGGTAACTCCATTGCACTCCTGATAGTCTCCGAAAGACAAAACTTCTCTTTTGGAAGGGGCCAGAACGGCACCCCACATTCGCCCTGGCAGGATGGGATTGGACTAGTTTTAATCATTTCCAGGGCCAGTACCCATTGCCTTCCCTCTAAATAGACGTGGTTAAGCTTAAACATTCTGGGAGTTATCACGCCGTGAGAAAAAAAGCCAGAGAATCTTCGAGTAGCGGTGGAATCGCACAACTCCACTTGCGGCAGAACTGTGTGATACTTGGCACGTAGTAGACACTTCATAATGTTTAATGGTTGATTTATTTTGTAAGACTAAATTTGCCCAAAAGGCAGTCCCTCTTCGTGGCTCTGGACTGTTTATGTTCTCAGGAGAGAACCATGGCTTGCCTTCCTTCGTAGGGCTTCATTAGAGGATGCCCGTATCAAGGACCTTACCTTACCTTCAGGCCCAAGGAGCTGTATATCCACAACCCCTGATCTCTGGGGATTGAACTATAATGTACTTGTATGAATAAATTGACCTCCAGAGGGGTGCAAGATAAATCAACCCTTTTAGAATCCAAGTTCCATTGGCATAGAGAACATATTTGCCACTCTGTCCTTGGAGTCTAGCCTGTTTGTGTATGCAAAGTGCACGATAACCAGTTATGAATGAAGCAAGAGAGTAGAATATCCTTCAGAAAGTCTTTCCCAGGCTAAGGTTTGGCCATCAGTAGAGACTAAGCTCTGGCCACAAAGAGCTGATGTCAGTCAGTGTCAAAGATAGCTCTCTAATGTAAACTTAAACCATTTCTGTCCCCTCCCCCACCTGCTTCTTAGGCTAAGATTGATGGACAGGTGTCAGCCAGTCCGGGCAGCACGTGCAGGGAAGCCCGAAGCAATGCCCTAATAAGCTCCAGCAGGAGCTGCTCCTCGTGCCTCCACCGTTTGCTCCAGGAAGCCAACGGGGACTGGAACCTTAAAAAGCTAACTTCCCTCTCTTGTTATAACCGAGTCAGAGATGGGCAAAGTAGCGATTGTTTAATTCGCTTTCCTAGAGGAATTACTTTCTTTAAGTGGCAGCCTGGGTCCCCCAACCTTGTGATGTAGAAGGTCTCTTGCCTGCTGCATCTGGAATCTTCAGAGTTCTCTTGCCTAATTTTTTGAAGTAAAAAGCAGAAAGTACAGGTGCTTTATGTTGCTTAGATTGGCATTTACTGAATCAGTCTTCACAAATTGGGAGAAGAGGAGAGACCACTAATGGCAAATGATTCTCTGGGTGATCTGAGGCAAGTTGTTTCCACCTGTCTTGCAGAAAGTTTCTGAAAAACGAGTAGCTCGAGTAGCTCGTTTTCCTAAAGTCTGTCAGGTTGGAGAGAATTGAAATTAACAACTAACAGTTGGAGAGAATTGAAATTGACAACTAACAGTCTAGCAGGAGCTGAGATTTTAATCTAGCAGAACGAATTTACCAGTACATGACACATCTTTATACCTCCTGGGACTGCAAGCCACGACCAAAAGGGTGGCTTTGTCCCTCAAAGCTGAGATTCCTTTCTCTTCCTCCTTGGTTTCTACGTCATCTCTTGCGCGGACCCTGACCCTCTCCCCCTGGGAGGGGAACGGCACCGGCGCCTGGGCACACAATCACACTCAGTTCCCAGCTCAATGGCTGGCAAGGGGACCAGGGTTGGGTCCTTCTGATTCACTCGCAGAGTGGTTTTCCTGCTCCCAGAATGAATTCATCCATTCATAGGATACTGGAATTCTCAGCAGGGGAAGAAACCAGAGTGACGTAGAGCCATCATGGGAGGCTGATGCCCAAGGTCAAGTTCACCAAGTACATGGACTATGCCAGCCATCATTAAATAAGGCCTAGGGGCCCATGGTCCCCAGAGGGTAACCATTGTTCTGGGCTAGGCTGGGCTTTCAAAATGTCACAGTGAGAAATGTCCAACATTGATGCCCTTTGCACACTGTGGAGTTTGCATGAAGAGTGAGAGGCCTTTGTTCTGTGCTTCCTCTCTGCAGGCAACCCACCCACCCCCTGTTTATTTAGTGGGCACCTGCCTTCCTGCACCATCTACCCAGCACTCAGCCACCCATCTGCCTTTCAGTGAGGTGGCCTAGTGGTCTGTCCTACTAGGAAGAAGGCATTTTGATAATCACAGCTCAGATCCTGGATTCACTTCTTGGCCCCAAGCCAAATACTTCTCCCTCCCTCTCCTTCCCTTCTTCCCTTTCCTCCCCCCACCCCATATGTGTGTGTCTTAATTATGGAATGGAGAGGGAATTAAGTAGAATTACGAATAGTGACCTGAACCTAGCTTAGCCATCTCCAGGAGTTGTAGCCTTCCCTGGAACCACACACCTTTATCATCCTAGGCTTAATGATGAGGACTGCTGGAGACAATCCTCCTATGCTAAGGGCTCCAGTAGTTCTACTGAGAAGCAGGAACGTAGAGGCAGGGCAGATAAGCTTGACTAGGTGTTAGAGTGCTGCATTCAGGTTCTGGTTCATCCGCTCACAGTGTGGCCTGGCCAAGCATTTAACCTTTCTCTGTCTTGTTTTCTCCATCTGTAACGCAGGATGGAGAGCCCCAGCTGACACTTTGCCACCCAAGTCTGCTAAGAAAAGGATGGAGACTCTCTGTGGATCTTTCTGATCCTTTTCTGACTCTTCTGGGCTCCTCTACCTCTGTCTGCCCCTTAAATATTGGTATTCCTTAGGATCAATTCATTCTTTTTTTTTTTTTTTCCTTTCTGTTCTCACCCTGCATACCCTCACCGTCATCTTCAGGGTAGAGGCCTGACTCTGGACCACGGCTTATACGGCCCTCCTGGATCTAGCTGTCCTCTATTCCTGTGCATGCAATTCTCTAGGCTATCCCTGCTCTCGAGCTCCTGCTCCTGTGTGTAAACTGTCCCCTCTGCCTGAAATGCTTGTCCTTCATTCGAGTCCCCGCCCAGCAGGCTAGTATCCACTCATCCTTCAAGAGTCAGGCCATGCTTCACCTCCTCTGAGGGTCTTCCCTGAACCACCCCCTGCCAGGCTGTGTTGGGTGCCCCTCCTCTGACCTTCATGAGCATCTGTGCTCAGCTGGTTGGTTTACTTGTCTATAGGTTGTTACTTGTCTGTGGGTTGACAGCATGGGGACTGTCTCTTGATCATTGCTGTTCCCTAGCACTATGCCTGGCAGTCAGTGAATGTTTATTAAATGTATGAATGAGGACTATTTTCTCATTTACTGACTTGCCTCAGCTCAGAAAAAATTTTAAGACTAAAAACGTGCGAAACCTACAAACCACTTCCTGAAATGAAGAGCTTCTAGAAGTGCTGTTGTTAAATGGACTGGCAGAAGTGGCTTCCAGGTCAGGCCGGCTCTAATTGCTCCTCCCCGCCCCTCTCTGTTTCCCCCACCCCCAACAAACTGCTTTGGTGGGTTCACGCTGTACTTCCATTGTTCTTCTCCCAAGGCACTTCCGCATTCTTCCACGTGTCAAAATTGTGCACCTCCCCCCCACGTCAACTCCATGAGAGCAGGAGCTACAACTTCTTCGTCTTTGTGCACACTACTGCCACGAGCATGGTGGTTCTCTAATAGGTCGTTGTTAAATGCAATGAATGGAATATAAAGGGAGAAGGGTAAACTGGGTCAGACAGAACCATCTATTGGGTTGAAACATTTTCTCGGTGGAGTCTCTTTTCTCTCTAGATTGCCGTTGCTCTCACGTTTGTGTAGGGCTTCTAGTTTTGCCATCCGTTGTCTGATTTCATCCTCACATTTGCTCTTTGAAATATGCGGTGCGGGTCCCTCTTGGCAGCTTGTTGGAATTCACTCAGCGAGTGCCTGGCAGAACTGGAACCAAAACTTGCATCTCCTGAGTGTTCTGTCATCTTGACCAAGAATACTACAAAGGTAGGAGACCGCTCCCAAGCTGAGCGGACTTGGCTAGGATTGTTGACACTAGCATCACAGGGAGTTGTCAGTTTCCACACACGGGTGACAGAGGAGGTCCTTGTGCCTTGCAGACCTCTAGGTGTTCTGTAACCATCTCAGCTTCTTCCTACTTTGGGCCCCCTCCCTGGGGCAGCCTCACCACTCATGTCCCCTGTGACTTTGGACAGGCCAAGCTTTTCCTGCACTCTAGAGAGAATGACAGTGCCTAGAACACAGGCCCCCGTAAGGAGTCTGTGAGGTTCTGTACATGACCTTGCTTTGAGCACAACAAACATCGCACTCTTATTTCAGGTGTTGGTGATGAGAGGGAAAGGGACTCCTTCCAGATCCTGGGGCCGTTGGAAGAGTCAAGTATCTTGAGTTTCACAGCAACTTAGTCAAGAGTGTTTTCTTACGTGTTAGAAACTCTTTGAGGAAATCTGTTGAGAGTTGGCAGTGAAGCTGTTAGAGTCATTTTCCCAAACCCATTCTTTTGATGGCTAAACCATCAAATAGTGCCCAGTATAGTGCGATGCACATACATGGCGTTCAGTTTGTTGATTTAATGCTTATTAAACATTTCTAATGTGCAAAACTCTGTGCTCAATGTTGAGGGACATTTAGAAGGCTGGAAGAGTTGGTCTCTGTCTT